TTTTTTTTGCAAAAAGGCGTAATTTACCTGAATAATTTTTATATCAGCAATCCATGCAGTAAAAACGGTAAGTGGGAAGAATGCGAATGTAAGGAGACCTTCCCAAATTTCAATTACTCCAGGTGATATCACAGCCAGAATCACATACATCCAAATGTAGGCGAATATAGACCTGAAAAGAATTTAGAAATTTCTGGATTTTGGCACAAATACCATAATTTTGGTTAATATTGAAAATTCGTTAGAAATTGAGAAAAGATACAAACCAAGTAGCTGTGACGAAAAACACATCCAAATGTTTCTGACGACGAATTTCCCCGGGGGGAATGACTAGAACGCAGATAGCGATAATCATAAATAGATTGAAAGCAGCCGAACCGACGATCGTATTTGGTCCAAGATCGCCGGCTTCGAACTTTTTCGCAATAATCTGGAAAATAAATTAATTTCGTCAATTTGCAAGAGTGCACAGTGGACATTATACTGGTTTTGTAATGGAAGAAGCAATATGAAAAGATTTGAAATTACCTCAATAATAGATAAAAGGATTTCGGGGGCCGAAGAACCTGAAAGGAATAGATCTAAGAGGATGGGAAATGCTTTACTTAAATGGAAAAGATTTCTATTAAAGATTTAGTAAAGACAACAGAGATATTTCTTAGGTACAAATGGCTTGAGATATCTTTCAGCCAAAAAAGTTTTGCTGCAAAATAATCGTGGGAGAAAATGCCTTGCTCTCTAAAAATTGAACGGAACTGATATGCAGTACATAAACACTTCAGCCTACTTTGGGCATATGATAGAAGTCAAAGAAAGCGCTGACATTACTAGTCTCTAACTTTGCATAGAAGGCCCTTTGCTATCCGCTCACAAAAAATAGGCTTTACCGCAGAAACGTTTTACAGTGATTTTAAGACAACAGTAGAGCACACTGTTATTTCTTGAATAGCAATTTTATAGAAAAAAAAGAGGAATATTGGGTACTCATTATGAAAAAACTTGTATTTACAGCACCATTCTATTGCAGATTTTTGTAAATTGTGTATCATCAAATTTTGATTTTCAAGCACAGACCAATTAAGCGCGACGCTGATTCTTTTTAGAAGATTTTAATTTTTGATATACTCAAGGCGTACCAAAAAGTAGAAGAGAAAAGGTTTCGATAGTTTCTCCTAACAGCTTTATCAATACATCAATTTCCTCTTTTTGTTCGGCACATCTTTGCTTGTATCCAACGCATAAATAATTAAATAATGGAATGAAAATGGATACGCCTATCGTATTCAACATTAGATATTCTCATAAGCAATGAAAACATGTTTTCTAGCAAGACATTGTTTTCTAATGGAAGAAAATTTTTTTTCGTAGTCTAGTAATAAAATCGATTGACCAACAAATATATTCAACGAGATAACCATCAATACG